TGAAATTTTGAAAATGAATTTTACTTCTTTATCTAAAATAATTTTTCCAGTGTACACTGAACAAAAATTACTTCATATACAATCTATATTTCACATATATAAATAAAGTTTCAGTAAAATCAGAATCTTCGAGTGTAAATGGAATTTAATAGGAATTTCAAAAATAGTATTTAAATACTTTTATTGGCTAGTGTATGTAACCAGAAAAAGAGCATGTCAATTATTTTATGATCGTGATTAGTATGTGTTTTCGAAAAACTATCTATTATAAAAGTGATATATTCTGCTTAATCGACAAAAAATTTAATATATCTGAAAATATTCACTTTTGATTTAATAAAACAGAATTATCGGTGGCCTAAAATATCTTTTTTATGAAATCTTAATTTTTTTTTTAATTTAATTTAATTAAATAATTTTTAATTATGCAGTAATTGATACATATTTTTCTCGCAAAAAACTATTAAATTATTTATGTTGAAAAGTCATTAATTTAAAAGATATTTTAATTTGATTTCTGATTCAAATTATTGTTATTATATATTGTTTTTAATTATTTAATTATTATTATATAAAAAATTATTATTCTTTGTTTTTTATACAATAATTATTTTTATAAAATTCAAATTAATAATTTCTAATGATTTTTGCAACATAAATAGTTTAGTATCTAATTTTTGTAAAAAATAACGAGTTATTTGATTAGCGCACTAAAAATTATATATTATCATATGATTTCATTCTAAAAGACAATAAATTGTCTTCATATAATTTTTATGCATTAATCTACAAAAAAGAAAGAATATTAAAATAAACACTTCATAAAGTCATTACTTTTAATTTTCAATTATTATTTTCATCAATTTTTAAAATACATTTTAATATTAATAAAAAAACAAGCAAGTTGTTCTAGATAAAGTTATCAAGTTATTTTATTTAATTATCATCCTGTATATTAAATAATTATAATTTTTATTATATTATTATATTTTTATTTCTTATCGTTGTATTTAAGATTATCAAAGTTAAATATTCTATTGAATTTATTACACATCAATTTAAAATTTGGTAAACGATTTTGCCTAATCTTAACCTAATCTAACTTAACTAAATATATTATTTTTTTTAATATTAGATTTTATAATAGCTTATCATTTATTATTATTTGGACGCTGAAAATTCGATTTAAGAAAAATTAGAACATAAACTCAGATGCTGTTTCTTATTTATTAATAATAAGATTGTTTAAAAAATACCATTAAATTTTTAGTCGATTCAAAGTAATTAAAAAATAAAAAGTTATAATAAAAAAACAAAAAAAAATAATTATTTTATATGATAATAATGATGAGTTATCAATTTTATATATAATATTTTTAATTATTTTTGTTAATTCTTCTGCAATCCTTTTTCTCATTATTTTATTCTTTGTTGTTATGTTCTCTAAAGTTCGAAATTTATAATTTAATTCCAATTAACTTGATATATTTGATTTATTAGATTTATATTTTGCTTTTTTTAAAATTTTGTTAATGCTTTTTTTGAAATTAATTAATAAAATGAACTAAATAGATGAATTAATAGAATTCTGAATTTAAAAATTTGTTATAAATTAATAAATAAAATTAATAAAATAAAATAATATTAATTAATTAATTAATTAATTCTACAGCCGTATTTTACAGCAAAACAAAATGATATTCAGAAATCATATTTAGTTAAATATAAAGAAATAATTTTATCAGATGCAATTTTATCGTAATGAGTTTTCTTCTTATTTTTCTAAATTAATTCATATCGTTACACTTTTAAAAAAATTTGTTTTTTTAATTAATTATTTTACTTATGATATATTAATATATTTGGATAGTTTATCAATTTTAAACATTTTAAATAAACAAAAAAAAAACAATTAAAATATAAAATATAAATAAAACAATTAAAATAAAAAATATCGGATTATATTTATTAAATAATAAAAAATTAAATTTTGAAAGGTAAAATAGAAAATGTGACAAAAATAGATTTGTCTTATCATTTCTATCTATTATCATATATTAAAAAATTAAATTGCTTATAATTTGATAAATAAGCTTTAGCCGATATTTTTATATATTAACTTTTACATTTGTTCAATCAATTCTCAAAATATTATTTATGAATATATGAATATTAATATTTTATGTTAATATATTCGTGAAACATTTTTGGAGAATTGATTCTACAGATCAAAACAAATATGAAAATTGATATACAAAAATTAAACTTTATTTATTCAATTATAAGCAATTGAATTTTATATTAGATAAAATGAGACGGAAAGAAAAGAGTTGTTGTGTCTCTATTATATGGTCGCATTTTATCTCTGTTGTATTTTATTCTTGTTTTATTTCATCTAATGCGAACTTAAATTGATTATAACTTAAGAAATAAATCTCAATTAACATTGTTATAGATTAACTTTTATGTTGGTTTTAACTTCTAGAATCGATTCTTATTTTAAATTTTGTTTTTTAATAAAAAAAAATTAAATGTTATCTTTTAAATATATATTTTATAAAATTTTTATGATAAAAAAATAAAATATATATTTTATAAAATATATATTTTATTTTAAATCGATTTTATAACATTATTGGTACACACGTCAATTATTTACAAAAATGATGCGATGTATAGACAGAATATATGTATATACAATTGGATTAACTTGAGTAAATAAGTTTGTCTCGTTCGAAACAATCGGCTACCAGTTATAAAAGAAAAATATATCTCTAATAGTTATGGCCATAATACTATTAGGAATTCCGAAGAAAAATGTTAACAATCTAGTAACGTTGCAACACGGATAAAAATATAATTAAATTTATATCGTTCAGCGCTGACTTCATTAAAGAAGGAAGTTGGGATTTTTCAAATTATTATTCCTTATACATAATACTTCCTCTTCTATAGGGAAAGTACGATGACGCGTAATGAAATTGTCTTCATGGTTGCGGATATGAAATCCAATACGACAGGGGAAATGGTTCTATTTTTGTGCTCAAACATAAGGATGTGGCAGCAGGAAGGATATCGAATCAAGAAGAGTGCTTGTGGAATTTATTGGTATACAGGTTGTTTGAGAAATTGGTTTTGTCGACAAAGACATTTTATTTGGACAAAAGAGAGTGATATAAAATTCGCTACGACCGATTTTTAAAAAAGTTATCGAATATTGTTTGCTGTAAATATGATATCATACATTAAAAATAAATAACATAATTTGAGTTTTACATAATATGTTATAAATCTTTTCAATATAATAAATATAAAATCTTATATTATTTAAAAAAAAATTTATTTAAATTGAAAATTTGAATTTTAATAAAGATATACGATTATACAGATAGAGCATAATGCACAAAGCAATTTTTGAAATTCTTAAAATTTTATTTTTTCATATTTTTAATAATTTTTATAAGATATTTTTTAAAGTATGTGTATGAGAAAGAGAGAAAGATATATAAATATTTTAATATTCTAAAATACAAAATTTTCTTTTAAAATAATGAAAAGAATATTGAAATTTTAGAAATTAATTTCATTACTTCAATATAATATTTTGTTAAAAATATCTATATACATATAATCTATTATGTTCTACATATAATATTTTATTTGACATATTTAATATATTCGTTATATATTTTGTTCGAAAAATTTTGTTAATTTAATTCATATATGTATGAATATTTTTGTGATTAACTGTATATTATAGAAAATAATATCTCGATAATAAATAATATCACATATATATTTTAATATTGTACAAAACAGAAAATCAAAAGTTATAAGATTAAAAATGTGACTTTAATTTTTTAGATCTCATATATAAAAAAATATTTTCTACAAAATTAATTTTAAGTTCCACAGAGATTTTGAAATTTTAATTTTTTGATTAAGTTAAATAGTTTTTATAAAATTAATTTTTGATTCTTCACAAGAAATTTGAAATTTTTATTTTTTTTTAGTTAGGCAATATATTCGTAATAATAATAATAAACTTAATAATGTGATTTATTTGCAAATTTTGTAAAATTAAAATAAAATACTTAGCTTATTAAATATATAGATTATATTATTTTTTTAAGATAAATACAATTAGTTGCTAATAATAAAAATTCATATTTTTATTTAAGAAATTAAATATCTCTAATTTTTATCGATTCTTTAACTTGAATAACATTTTTATCTTCAATTCAAAATGTGTATAACTAAAAACTTATAATATTTTTTTTTATTATAAACTGTAAACATAAAATGTTTTTTCATGTTGTTATGTTTTGTTTGATAATTTAAAGATATATTAATTTGTAATTGATACAATGATTATTTTGCCAATGAGATAGAATTTACTTTCAATTGAAAAATTCAAAAATATAAAAATAACTTAAAAAATAAAAAAAGTTATACGTTATTCTTATTAATTTATATAAAAAATGTTTTATATATATATATATATATATATATATATATAAATTAAAAGTCATAATGGGTATTTTTTCATAAAATTCTCATAAAAAAAAAAATTATATTCTACCTTGCTAATTTTGGCATATTAAAAATAAAGTGAATTTTCAATAGTTATGATTTTCAGATCTTACGAAAACAGTTATAATAATAATTATCATTATATTTAATATCATTTTAAATTCTATTTAAAGTTTTTTAATATCCATAATAATATTTCTATAAAAAATTGATGTATGATAATAAATGTGATAAAAAACTACTCTATTGAAAAATAAACATATATAAACATATATAAACATATATAAATATTTTTTTATAACTACTATAAAAGTTTTTAATTTTTTCACAATAATTGAAACACTATGTTAGACTAAAATAAAAATATATTAAATGAGTAAAAGTAACGGCTAAGATAGACATATTCCGCCATCATTGCAAGAATTTCATACATCATGGTTGATGAATTTTCATAGAGGGAAACTTACCCTGTAACCTCCCAAATGTTTGACCAGACACGTAAAAGTTGCGTCCCTTCCTAACGCCACTGTTAGATTCAAGATAGGGGCGGCGAATTCGGGTGGGAAAGCACCGCCTAAAACAGATATATACGATGCATGTGAAAAACTTTCACAGATTTGCATAACTTGTTTAGTATAGTTTAAAGACATTCATTTATTATATAAGCCAGACATATTTAGATAAAAAATGATCGAACTAAGAAGCAAAAAATGAGATAAATTCATAAACAAACGGAAAATTTTAGTCGATCAATTGTGTAGATTAAAACATTCTGAGAATGAAGACAATGGAATAGTTTTCATCATTGTATTTCTTGTAACTGTTGAAGCCTTTGAATGATGAATATAAGTTTAAATATTTCTGATTATTATATACAACTATTTGGTAAAAAATATAATCAATCTTTAAAATGCTAGATAATATTTGGCGAAATAAATATTTTAAATATTATTTAATTTTTATTATTTAATTTCTTCGGCTTAAATAAAATAGTATTTTAAATAGAATAGAATAATAAAATTTTAAGTAAAATATTTTATTTTAATAATATAACATAAAATGCTTTAATCTCATTTAAAGTATTGGATCATCTCATAAGTAATATTTTTTCGATTTATTCTTAGTAAAATTTAAGAATTTCAAAGATACTGAGAAAAAATTGAAATGGAAATAAATAAACAATGATGATAAAAAATATTCTTGTACATAGAATAATCGGTCAATTATACCATGATTTTCGATACTACAATACATACTATAGTACATATATAAAGAAAAATTAGAAAACTTCGAAATTCAAAAATGTATTAAATTTGAATCACTTTAATATTTAAAATGAAAGGAATAAAATAATTCAAGACAATATTCAAAGATTCTTAATATTCTTTAAGTAAAATACTATTTTTAAATACTATTTTAAAAATTTATTTGTAAATATAAATAAAATATTTCATTTTTAAAATTATATCTATATTTTAAATGATATATTTATATTTAAAATAAGAATTATTTATTACATATAATGTAATAATTTTATTTAATAAATAGAATTATTATTATTATTATTATTTGAAATAATATTTTATTTAGTTCTATTTAAAGTCTATAGATTTTCACATTTTTTTGATTGTCATTTTTTGATTTTTGTATCAATCAATTTTGATGAAATTTTCAGCATATATATAAATTATTATTTATTGATATAATTGATAATAATAATATAATTGATGATAATAAATTTACAAAAGATATTGATTAATTTCTTATTACAGGCTCAGATAAAAAAATTATAAAAAATAATTTTTATTATTTTTTCACGATCAATTTTTTTTTTAATTTTCTTACACGTTAATTACATATTAATATGAATTAATCACTTGACTCGAAATTTGATTTACAAAAAAAAATTATTGTAATGATTCAAAATAAATTCTAAGTAGTAGATACTTTGAGATACTATATTCATCATAAATTTGAAATTTAAACGTATCTTAATAAATTTAAAAAATATTTTTCTTGATATGATCAATTATCAATTAATTATCTATCTATAGATCTTATTTTATATAATTTGTAAATTTTAAAAAGAAGATTTAAATTTTTAATGTATAAGACTTTTAATACATAATCCATTACTTGGATTATATTATACATATATAATATATATTTTTTTGTATATTTAAAAATAAATTTCCAGTTAATATAATAATCGAACATCATCTAATAACTAAACTAATGAACTGAAGAAAACGTCGATGACTTATTACACAAATATTATATATCTACTTTTAGTATTTTTGAAAACAATAGATTTGAAAATTCAAAAATTGATTCAAAAAAATTTAAAAATTGATTCAAAGAATATAATATATAATATAATATATAATATATAATATAATATATAATTATTCAAGAATATACAATGAACAAAAAATTTTCAATAAATTTTTAAAATAAATATAAATATGGTTTTATATAAAGTATAAAAAATTATATATATATTATAAGAATAAGATTTCTATTTGATCGAATTTCCTAAAAAAAAATATATAATATGTACAAAGCTATAATATATACTAAATTGATATACACAAGAAAGAATAATAATATAATCCAACAACTTACTGCTTTTTGATCAAAAACATCAAATATTCAATCAAAAACATTTAAATATTCTTTTTTTTTTCTTTGCATTCGAAAATATAATTCGAGTACATGTACAAACAAGAAGAATACAATAATAGGATCAATAGAATGATTATTTCGAAAATGGAATTCATAAACATTCATAAATAATAATAATAATAAATAATAATAAACAATTCATAAACATTCAGTTTGTATATTATATTTCACATTTAATGCTTCTATTAAATTATTTTTGTACTTAACACAGAATCGTTATTTATTATTTAATAGCTTGGTTGTGCGGAACGACGTTTCAAATATTTTTCGCGTAAGTATGATGTTATTCTTTTTCTCCTCTTTCCATTTCGTCCTCTACACTATGCGCATGTTTATTTATGCGAATCCATTATCCTGCCCTTCGTAAAATATACTGAATAATATCCCGTGATTCTGACGTAAGCATTACCATTGTTTTTGACTTTAACGTATGCGAATTCTTTTCAACGTGTACGAAATGATATACGTAATTATGGCATTTAAAATGTTGAGAAGGTAATTAATTTCTTAAATAAATGATAACAACAGTTATTTTTAAAAAGAGAATAAAAATATAGTATGTTAAATTATGATATTAAATTATATACAGGATATAAATTATATAATAAACAAAAAAGGAAATAAATCTATATAAAGAAATAAAAAAATCTATAATTTTTTTGTGCAGAATTTTATTTTCAAATAAATTAAAAATTCGAATATATTTTGTTAAGTTAATTAAGTTAGTTGAACTTCATTTATATCATTTATTATTATTTTTCAATCGAATTTTTCTTTTTGATTTATATTATGATTTATATTTATATTATGATTTATATTTATATATTGTATAATATAATACATTATATTTAAACATGTATCAAAATTAAATGTTATTTATTTGTTATGTTATTTATTATATATAAAATATTTTTACGTAAATAATTCGTAAAAAAATTACGTAAAAAAATTTTACGTAAATAATAAAAATAAAAAAAAGCTTTGTTAATTCTTGTCCCTTTTTTAAAAGAATATAAAAATATTTCAAAATCCTTAATTTTTCAACAATGAATTTTCTTTAGTAAGATATTCATTACATACTATTACACGAATATAAATTTATAATTAAATTATTTATTAGATTTAGAATTTAATTCTTGTGCAAATTTTTCAGATATTTTACAAAAAAGATAAAAAAAATATAATTTCTTTCTTGAACCTAATTTCACTTCATTTTACTATTATCCATTGAGATCATTTTAATATCATTTACAAATACATTTTCAAAAAATAAAAAACATCATCGATAATTACATTAAAAATTTTCTATTAAAAGATTCGAAAAGTATTTAAAAGACAGAATAAAATTACAAAAATAATAGAGAATATTTCAAAGAATAAAAATTCTTTTCAAATAAACAATAATATTGCTTTAAAAAGACATTGAATTAATTTCTAAGTCTAATAACATTACAAAAGAACTACATTTAATCAAATCATAAAGCTTAATGAATCTTATAATTAAATTATATAATTCATGAATCTCATGTACTATTATAATAAATATTATTTTTTATTAAAAATTAAAATTAAACGTAGTAAATTTATAATTAAATTATTTAATAAATATTATTAGATAAATAATAATGTTTCAAATTATTTCTCTGATATAAATCTCTCGTAAAATCTTTCCAGTTTGAAAAAATTTGTTATTTTATATAAATCGTTGTATAAAATAAACTGCTATTATTTAAATTATCAAATCATTAAATACTCCCTTTCATCTCATAATTAATTATCAAACATAAGCAACTTAATGAATATAATCCTCGAAATGTGGCGTTGGATTTACCCGGTTCTTACCAACGTTTAAGAAAGCAGATACGTAGAGAAGATTTTATTCTAAGATGAAACATTTCAATCACAGTTAACACTAAGAACATAGAAATTGATTTTCGGTTATTTACTTCGCGCTACGTTCACTCACAGATCTCGATGAAATTTCCATCTGATATTTACATTCGTCAGCGGAAACGGATTATATTAATATTGTTGCGCATATTTATTTACAAAGAACGTGAACAACACTCACATTTCTGATACATGTTGATACGATATTCTGCACGAAGACGTAGAACGTCGTAGTACAGATGCTTTGTACTTGCAGTGCAGTTACACATCGAATTTCATGTTTCATTTTCGTGGCGTATGGCGCAAGGATAATTTGATACAGAATAAACGAGCCATGTCTACGCGATACTACGTAATATTAAATGCCTCACATTTCTTGTGATGTTAAAGGTACTCGATTAACCCTAACCATCAACTGGAATTTTCACCCATAAATTTTCTAATTATGTGCACGTATGTTTTATATTTTTGTTCGCATTTGTCTCGCATTTTGCTTTCGAGAAAATATATAACTGTTTCAAATGACGGATATCGGAAACAATTTATTTGTTAGAAATTAGTGCAGATTAGCTCTTTTCTTAATGATTTTAATAATTTTGAAATATAAAGAATAACTTTTAGATAATTGACTTCAGGTTTCATATTTTTTGTAAAAAAAAATAATGTATGATTGTTGTATTGGTAATGATAATATAGTATTGATTCTGTTTACAAGTGTGCATTGGTGAAACATGATAGTATATGATCACTAATTATCAATTGTTTATATGAATACATTACAAAATATTAGCAATTAATATATTTCAAAAAGAATAATAAAACCACACATGATTTCTTCTGAAAAAATAAATTGAAACTATAGAATAATGATTCTTTATTTGAGATTTCATTTTTAAAAAAATGAATTTTGAAAATTTTTTAACATAACTGATTGCACTTTATGTTAATATTTTAAAAATTAATATTAATTATAATGAACTATAACTTATATTAGTAAAG